GATGGGCCTCCACCCACAGAGCAGCTGAGCACGCTGGCTGCAGGCAAACCCAGTCAGCCACCTCAGCGGAGCCCCACGATGGTATCCAGTGAGGCTCGGCTGCTTGATTTAGACCCAGCTTGGACACTTGTTGGTCTGCAAGTCCCTTTACTCTCTGAGCCTCAGCTTCCTGGTGTATAAATGGAGAATATTGGGGGGAGGGGTGTGCCAAGTCTCTCCTGGATTTCTCAGTCCTTCCTCAGCCACCCCCCACTCCCACTTCTCTCCCCACTGAAAGTACTAAACAAAGTTGACCATCCTTTACATCCCGGCCACCCCCATTAATCTGGCCACTCTCACTCCAGCTTGGACCCTGAGGTGACCCCTCAAAGTCAGCCTGCCTCAGTATCTGCCCAGATCCTGCACATGCACCCCGTAGCCTCAGGAGATTTTCCAAACAAAACACAACTCTTATCTCTGTGTTCCCTGCCCAAAAGCCCTCCTTGCCCTTCATGAAATGCCCCGAATTATCCATCTGACTTTGAAGCTCCTTTGAGGACCCGCACTCCCTCCCTCTCCATGATGTTTCTCGGCCCTCATCCCTCAGACTTACACACACACACAAGTCCACACATTCTCAGCTCTCCCCATGCACCTGCACACTTCTGCCCGGAACATCACTTGGCACACAGGCCCCTCCATGCTTCTCCTCATTCTGAATCTCTAGGTTCAGACCTCACCGTCTTCCTGGCACCTATTCCCACTGGGCTGGGGCAGGCCCTTCCTCTGTGTCCTCATGACCAAGATGCCCTCATCACAGTACATTACAACAGAGCATTTCCTAGCTCCTCCCAAAGAACAGAGAACACATGTCCTGTCCACTACACTAACCCAATACCAGATGCCTCATCCAGAGTAGGAGCACAAGAAATACTTTTTTCCCCCTAAGATTTATTAATGCATACAGTACGGGGGTACAGGCCACAGGTGCAGGGGGATTGGTGAGCGAATTCACCAGAGAGAGAACAGGGAGCAGAACAGGTGTATTGATAAAGCACATTGCTGAGGGGAGCAGTGGGCAAGACAAGAGAGGTCTGCTGGGCCATGTGGGTCACCTTCCTGGCCGGAATCGAACTTGTGCTGAAGTGGCTGCAGCTAGCTTCGTAGTGCTGTGCTTTAACCTGCTGGGCCACCAGGGAGGGCCCAGAAATACTCTTTGAAACAATGGAAGAACAAACTCATAGGAAACAGTGTTGAATATCATTGTCATCACCATAATCACCATCACCATCACCGCCTTCATCATCTAAGCCACATTTCTCTACTAGAAACACAATTCAAAGTCCAAGGCTCATGGACAGTGGGGTGAAATGGTAATGCACCCCACTTCTGAGGTGCTGGCATGCCCCTCTCCATATAAACACCGCAATGATGCTGTGCCCACCCTACCCAGACAGAAAAGGAATAAACCCTCCTCCTGGGACACTTGACCTCTGACCACAGAGCCAGTGACTGCTTCTTTACCTTGAGCAGCCCCCCAAAGAGCACCCCATTTCCCTTGTCTACCCCAGAAGAATATCCCTGAGCTGCAGCATCAGTGCAGGCTGGTACGCCATCACCCCAAGAGCCCATCTGCATTTCCAACAGGCGAGGTCACAGGCTTCCTGAATTCCTTTTTCTGTCTTCTAGACTACGCTCTCTTTGAGCAGAGATCATGTATTAAAACCTTCATGTGTCCTTCATGAGGCCTGACACAGAGCAGAACCCCAACAGTTATTTAATGAACAAATACATGAATAAAAACGCGGGTGTGTGAAGGGGGCTTCCAGGCAGAACTGTCCCTTTCCACCTTAAGAAGATGGAATTTGTCATATTATTGAAGACATTCCTTTGGACCCTTAATAGAGTCCAGAGGCTAATAAACTTCTGTGTCAAGAGGACCGTTTTTCCTTGTCTGGCCTAAACTTCTCCAGCTTCAACAGCACAGGACATTTTCTTTTAATCTGCCTTCCTGGCTACTGGAACTGAAACTCATTTCTTTATGAAGAGACAGTCACTAATTTGCCCCATCCTGTGCCTGTGACAAATATAATCCCAGGTCCTTCGGTGTCCCCTCCCCAGGGTCCTAACCTCCGCCTCCTTTTCCCCATTCCACTGCTCGTGGGCCCTTTGCCAAGCCCTGGACTGTGGAGGCGGGTATGGGACGCACTGTTCCCCAGGGAGCGCTGTGCAAACACACAGAGGCCACCCTTCCCTCACCACGTGGGACAAACACCTGTACCGTGCACTGTGGCTGTCAGGCCAGCTCCCTGGCCCCCGGGGGCACACTCACACCAGCCGCCACTGTCCAGAGACCCTTGCTCCTGCCCTGAGCTCTTGCCCAGGTTTGGGCGCTCACGTCAGTGAACATTCACGTGTGCCTGACTAGACGGCCCAGAGCTATGTCTTTCCCCACAGGTGAGCTGAACTAGGTGGGGCACAGAAGCCTCTTAAAGCTCCTCTGCCTCCTCCCTCCCAACGTTCCATCAGTGCACACACACACACACACACACACATACACACACACACACAAGGCCCCTACTTTCTTTCTGCCTCTAGGGAATTCCACTCCAGGCTGAGGGCAAAGATTAAAGGCCACGCTCTGACCTCTACTCGTCTTCCCCCAACCTCCACTTGCCTTCTGTTTGCCCCAAGGCCACACCACTGTCCACCCCTTCCCAACCTCCATTCCTCGGGTTGAAACAAGCACTGGCTCCAAGAAGGCTTGACATCTTGGAAACAAAACCAGGAGATGAATTGGCGAGAATAGACCGGGACCGAGAGTGGACAGCCGACTGTCATTGCACCTGCCACTGCACGGGTCTCGGCCCTGGGCACTGGGGCCTCGGGAGCCCACGGAGTGTGATAGACATTCATTCTTTCAACAAATATTGACCAAGGGCCTCCAACAGGCCAGGCGCTACTCTTCCGCCACAAAACCAATGCCAGCCTGCCCTGACCAGGTGTACACGCTGTGGGTGGAGGCAGAAAACAAATGAGCAAAATATATAGGTGGGTAGGTGTTGATAAGAGAAAGGGAGGAAGGTGAAGAGAGGTGGGGGTGGGTATTGAGGTCCCCTTGAGGTCTGACTGGGAAAGGGGCATTTGAAGGAAGTCCTGAAGGAGGTGAAGGCGCGGCCGTGGGGAGCTCTGGCTGGAGGTGTTGTATGTGCCAGTGGCAGGTAGTGTAGTGTCAGGGAACACACCCTAGAGGGCCACGGAACAAGGAGCTAGGAGCTGGCAAGAAAAAGGGTGCCAAGCACAGAGTCCTTTCTCCCCACCTCCAGAGACAGGAGCACTTTTGGGATGAACTGTGACCTCACAAGAGTCAAAAGGTGAATTAACAAAACAGAAAGCAGATAAGGGGTTGAGGTCACTTCCAAAGGGAGGACAACCCGTGTGGGACAGTTAAACAGGACAGGAAGTTGCCCAGGGGCTCACTGGTGGGTGCCTGCCCATCCAGGAAAGAGCCCCAGCTATTTCCTCTCAAATCCAGTGACTGATCACCAAAAGGGGAAATAATTCCAGGGAACGGGACAGGGCCTCGTGAACCACTTTTGATTCACCACGCTGCCCTTCACAGGATCCTGCCTCCTAGCGACCCAGTGAGGTAGGACTGCCATACCGCCCCAAGTGAGGGACACCCTCCCTGGCTCCTGACCCCCACAACCCCATCCTTGCTGGGCTTAGGTGGGCAAGGCCAGCCACATTTGCTGCAGTGGTGGGGGTTAGACCCCTCCCCCAATTCCTCACATCAAGGGATGCTGACCTGGGGGCAATAGGAACGTCCACCACAAGGCCCCCACTAGGGCAAGGCCACATTGTGTCTGGCTATGAACACCAGAAAGTGGTGAGGCCTATGGCCAGTAATGTGAAGCTGTAGTCAAAGCAGGGAAGGGTATGAATGTTTGGGTTTTAGTAAACATTATCAGTGGACTCAAGGTTTTCTCTGCAATGAAAATATGCCCTCACTGGCCTTCAGGAAGGGGTGAAGAAGAAATAGATCACCCACCCCACCTACCCCACCCCCACCCTAGTTAGCTGTAGGTTGAGCCTATCCATGCCACCATCTACCAGACACCCGCCAGTGGGCAGCTAGGAATTACCACGGCTCACTGAGGCTGTTTTCTGTCCCATGGCGAGAAGTCTGAGCCAGAGCTGGTGCCAGCGTGTAGGTACTTCTGGCAGAGGGGTAGAAAGCAGCTCCCTGGTCACCAAGCATTAGTCATCTCCCAGTCTCAACACAGTACTATGGTCTTCCCCTCTGAGAAAGCAGATGCTGGCAGTAGAAGGCAGAGAGGGAGGGACCTGAAGGCCTGGCCAGGTCTCCAAGTTTCCCCTAGGAAGACCGTGGATCTGATGGGACAAGTTTGAGGTATATGTCCCAGCGTTTAGGAAATATGCCTGGGTCAGGGTTGGGGACCACCTGGGCCCAAAATGACCCTATTCCAAGATCACCTGTCTAGAAGGAAACCCCTGTGCTAGATACTCCCAGCACATAGCTGACGAGGGCCTGGAATCAATGGAACAAGACTTCCTCTCTGCAGCCACCACAACCAACTCATTGCAGCCCATGGTCCCTGGTCTTCACCCAGAGGCTACCTCGCCCCACGCAGGCCTGTGGGGCCTCCCACTGGAGACTCGTCAGGACCCAGGCTGACCCAGTCACGCCCATTCTCTTGCAGGGCGCCAGAAGTGGTTCAGTCAGGAGGAGAGGGCCTACAGACAAGGCCAGCTGGCCCCATCCTTGTGGAAGTGAAGGCCTCCCCACTGTGGACACGCCCCATCCCTGCTCCTCACCTGAGAGCGGCTGTGGGCTGCCCCTTCACTGCAACCTGCCCTCCCTAAGCCCAGGGAGCAAGAGGATCTAGGAAGCCAGGATGAGGGGAGCCTGGAGATCTCGCACCTTACAGCCTCTTCCCAGCCTGTTATCGTCCCTTCTCAGCAGCGGGTTCAGCTGCCCACACACACGGGAGTCCAACCACAGAAACTGGAAATTCTTTATTGAAATCAGATCCAAGCCCTGCCCCACAGTAGGCACTCTTCCTCCTCTGTCCCTCACCCCAGCCTCAGCCACAGAGTAGGGAGGGGAAGGGAAGCCAAGAGGCCCTGAGCAGGGCAGGCTGCAGGGACGGCGGCGAGCGGGAGGCCCCACCGGGAGGCCCAGTGGGGCCTAAGTCGCTGGCTCCTCCCTGTTAATTACGTCTCTGTGGCCACGCTGTGGGCGAGGCGTTCTTGCAGCAGGCAGGCCGGAGGCAGTGGCCCTGACCCCCATCGACCCCCCGCCAAGGAATGGGTAAGAGCACAGCGCTTAGGGGGAGCAGCCAGAGGACAAGAGAAGTATGGGTGTGAAGGGAGGGCCCTCCCCCCCAAATTTGGTCCCAGAGGAAAAGATAAAGTGAGCTGGTCCAGTTTTAGTAGGTTTGGAGAAGGGAATGTATCAGCAAGCTTGGGGGGAGAGAGAGGCTGCCTTCAGATATCCCCAAAGGGACCAGGTCAGCCTCCGCTCCCCAGAGAAGAGCTAGAGAGCTTGGCACTCTCAGGAATGTCACTGCCTAAATATATATCTATATATTAACATTCACAGGAGGGCAGGGCCAGGCCAGGTGAGATCAGAGGATCTGGCGTGGCATCCCGTAGCCAGTCATGCCCGCCTGAGACGCTCCGCGGTTGGTGCCCATCTGTAACCCAATCACATTCTTGCCCTCTTGCAGCTGGTTGTCCGAGAAGTTCCGCGGGTTCTCCTTGGATTTCCTGGGTGGGAAGGGAGTCCTGGTTGGGAGAGGTCAGGAGCGGGCCCAGGAAGCCTCCCCCCTGGAGAGAGCACAGCTTTGCCAGGGCTCAGGCATGGCACCATGGCACCAGCACTGCCCTGAGAGCTGGGAGCTGTCAGAAGCCACCTCCCATCTCTCAGGGGACCTGGCCCTCCCAGGACAGCTGTGAGGACTTGGGGAGACGTGAATGCCCTGGTGCTTTGCAAAGGCAACTGCCGCTTCCCAGAGACAGGGGTGGGCAGGGACAGTGTGCCTGCCCAGGGTTGGCTGCCCAGCAATACTCACTTAGGGAACCAGTTGGGGTCTCCAGAGAAGATCCCATCATTCCGGGCTACCGCCAGCCCACCCAGGTTCATAAGTGTCCGCTGAACACAGGCCATATTCTTTCCTGGAAGGAGAGGGGACGCGGGCCTCAGCCAGCAGGCCTGACAGCTGATTTCCCCTCTAAGTCAGCAGGTCCTGCTCCTAATATATCTTTCAGTCTTGTCCACACCAGCCCCCAGCATGATGGACTCCTGGGTAACACACACACACCACCTGCACACACACGCCCTCCTCAGGCCCCTCCGCCTGACCAGTGGCCTGGCCCAGTCTGGTCTCCAACTGGCAGCACCAGCCTGGCCCACCTTCCCAGAGGTCCACAGTCTGGAAGATGTCGGTGGTGTTGATGCCATAGCGCTCCGCCGCCTGCAGGAACTGCGAGATCTGCTCCATCTGCTTGAAGGCCATGGTGGAGGCCTGAATCTTCTTCACAGGGCCCTGTCCCTCAGGGTGCAGTGAGTTGATGAGCTCACACAGGACCTGCAGGCAGCAGATGTGTGGTGAGGTCATGCCTGCCACAGAGACAGTGCACCAAGCACAGCTCCTCCTGTTGCCCCTGAGCGAAAGGCCACGCTCCTGCGCCCTCCCCAGCAGCGCCTCGCCCTGGGCGTCTGTCGAGGGCCTTTCCCCACTCAGTGGAGAGGGAGGAGGGCCTGGGTCCTCTCCTGAAGGAAAGGCCTGGACAGGGGTGTCCCAAGTAATGTCTCTTCTGCAGGTGAAAGAGTCCCCGCTCCCAGGCCAAGCCTTGCTCTCACCGTGCCGTCCTTAAGCCAGTTCTGAAAGTTGTCGCGCCCAGGCTGGGGCTGGCCCACATCCTTGCGGCACTGGGTGGTGATCCACTGGATGAGGATCTGTTCCAGGTCCGCATCATATTGCTTTTCAATCTTCTGCTGAACTTCGCGGCTCAGGCCATAGGCAGGCCCCCTGTTGGCCATTCTGAAGGGCGGTAGTGGCTACGGGGAGCTAGAGAGGGGACACACCCAGGCCCAGTCAGCACCTGCAGCCTGTGGCGCAGGGCTCCCGGCTGCAGGACAAGCCCAGTGTCTCTAGAGCACCATCTCACCCCCACAACCTGAACGCTAGGTCAATTCAGAGGTAAGGCTCAGAACTGATGCTGCCAGATGGGGAGACAGCTAGCTCATCGGGAGGCAGTCTGTCGATTAAGAATTCTTATTAGATCTCACTGAAGTGGTTCCATGACCAGAAGGAAGTACAAAACCCACTGTCATGGAATCTGGGATAAAGGAGGCCAAGACCAAGGTTCAGCTCCTCCACTGGGATGGTCTGCTCCAGCAAAGGCAAATTGGCCATTCTAACCCAACCCTGCCCTTTACAGTGCTTAGAAATGACCTGGGGGGAGGAAGAAGAATATGGGCCAGTTGGGATTTGGCGGTCAGACACTTGAGGACCAGCTGGATCACCTGCAGTCAGTCACCGGGTTTTAACTACTACGTGTGTGGGGAAATACGGAAATCACAGAAGTCTGGGTCCTAAAGTTGCCTACAGTACCACAGTGCGACAAGTGAGGACATAAGAAAGTATGAGGTTGGATGGTAAATGAATGGGGTGGGGGTCAGGGCTGTGGAACACTAAGAGGCAGTCAAACAACATGGTGTAGGAATTCAGAGAAGCCTAAGTGCAGAAGCAGTCAGGAGGGCTTCCTGGAAGAGACAGCCCTGAGGGGGCCCTTCACAGATTTTAGCAGGCAAAAGGCATTTCCATGAGAAACCAGGCCATAAAAACATTTTCCTTTCCAATCTGAAAAGCTGTGGTAGCAGAGATAACGGCCTCCAGAGGTGTCCAAGTCCCGATTCTCAGCCCCGTGGATGTGACCTTATGAAGAAAGGGATTTTGCGGCCCTCCCTGGTGGCGCAGCGGGTTAAAGCACAGCACTGAGAATCTAAAGCCACTTCTGCATGAGTTCAATCCCCACCTGCCCCGGAGGTGACCACATGGCGCGGCAGACCTCTCCTGACCCGCCCGCTGCTCCCCTCAGCAGTGTACTTCGTCGATCTGCCTGTTCTGCTCCCCACTCTGTCTCTGGTGAAGCGTCTCTCCCTCCACATCTCTGGCCTGTACCCCAGTTCTGTATGCACAAATAAATAAAAATAAATCTTAAAAAAAAAGAAAAGAAAAGAAAGGGATTTCGCAGGGGCAACTAAATTAAGGGCCTTGAGATAGGAAGATTATTCTGCATCACTGAGGTGGGCCATGTACAAGGATCCTGAAAGAAGGAAAGTGGAAGGCAGGGTTGGAGGTTAGAGAGAAGGAAGCTGGGCTGGAAGCCGAGTCAATGTGCCTCCAGATGCTAGAAGAGGCAAGGAAATGGGTCCTCTCCCGATTCCCTAGAAGCAGCCCTGCGGGCACCCTCACTTCAGCGAGTAAAGCCGAAAGACATCACATGTGTGTCGCTTTAACTCACCAACTTGCAGCCAATTGTCACAGCAGGAATAGGGAACTTAAAACACAGTGTTGTTTTTAGGAAAATCCAAGAAGAGAGAGGAAAGGCACGGGGAGCTCCTTCGACGTCATGTGGGGACACTGGGAAGAACCAGGTGGTTTCCTGACCACTGGGCAGAGGTGGCGGCACCCAGCTGCGGGTGGCTGGCCCCACCCCTCACCTCACCACCCAGGTCCCATAGCCAGGGCTGGGGCAGCAATCCTTTAATGTCACTGATGCCCAGGGACTGCAAGGGGCCGGGAAGGGACCGTTTTCCCCATGCCAGCCCTGCAGGTGCCTCTTTCTGCTCTAAAACAGAGCGTCAGGTCTCATTTCTCATAAAAGGGGAGCCCCTCCATGACCAGCACCTGTGTTTGGGGAAGAGACACAGACACTCCACAACTGGCTCCTGGCCAGGTCAGAGAGGGGATGAGGTCACTCTGGCTCCCTCTCCCACGCACTCAGGTTAAGCAGTCCCAGAAGCAGCAGAGGGCCGCAGGGAGCCAAGCACCAACAGCAGTTCCTCAAACCCACCAGCTCCAGCCCCCCCCCCCCAGACTGTGCCACCCTTCCCCTCCCCCACACACCAACAAGGCTGCTCCTGCTTCAGCTTATCAAGGAGGGCATTTCCGCCATAAACCAGTTATTTTTAAACTTCATTAAAAGCACTCACCCCTGCCCACAGCCTGAATGCCAGGCCAGATCAGTGTGGCCAGGGCCCTGCCCCTATAGCACCAACCACACACAGGAAAGGGGCACCAAAAGGGAAAGCCCGCCCAGCTGCTCAGTCACCACCTGGCCTGCGTGCCTGATCCATAGGGCACGGCTGGGAAACAGGAGGCAAGGGAGGAGGGCTGCTGTGCCAGCAAGCCCCTTGGCAAGCCGCTGAGCAGTGTCTGTTCTGGAACCAGCAATCTGACGGTCACAGGGCTCAGACCTATGTCTCCAAGAGGCCAGAGTGACCCAAGACAATGATTAATCCAGACACCAGGATTAGGAGGACAGAGCAGAGCTGGAAACTTGCCGCTTCCCACAGACTACAGGCACGAGACGGGGGAGCGGGTGTATGCTGAGGACCCTTCCCCCACTCTGGGGCCTGGACACAGCTGGCAGTGTCACAGCCTCCAGCTGCAGGGCCTCGGCTCCACTCTGGAGCCACTGTCCTGGAGCCCAGAAGTGGCAGAGCCCCAGGGCGGAGCTCTGGCTGGCAGCCGGCAAGGCCAGCCTGCCACAGCTGTTTCTCCTCCCCACCTCACAGTAGGCCAGAGTGCGAGGCCGCGGCTGGAGGGGCCCACCCTGGCAGACCAGGGACCTGTCCCTGGAGGAAGGGATGGCAGCAAGTTGCCTACTTGGGGGGTAGGTTGGCAGGGGCTGTGAGCGGCCTAGTGTCAGCTGCCTGGTGCGGTGGGAATGGTGCCCCCACCCACAAGGTTACAATGGTTGGGAGAGGGGAGGAGCCCCAAAGGCCTTTCAGGCCTCGGCCCCACCCAGACCCTGGGCTGGAAGCTTACCTCACCCCACCCCACGCCATGCCAATGCCAGAGAAAAGGCGGGAGGGGGTGGGGTGCTGTGCAGATGTGACACAGGGGAGCTTCCCAACCCAGAACAGAATGGGAGAAAGACCATTTTGTGAGGGTGCAAGGGGCACCTGCCCACAAAATGAAATGCCCAGCAGGAGCAGGCAGACTGGACAGTGGGGGGAACCTATCATTCGGAGGCAGCCCCTTGCCACCCGAAGTGTGAGCAAAAGAGAAAACTGAAGCTCCGCAAACAGGAAGCCACAAGTTCTTGGGGGAGGAAGGGAGGAGGTGGGGGCCGTTGCCATGGCTTCTGTGTACCAAACACCAGACAGGCAGGGCAGGGTGGGGACAAGGGGGAGGAACACCCGCTCAGCACAGGTCGCTCAGCGCAGGTCCAGTGTGGCGGCAGGATTCTTGGGACAAGGGTCCCCTACAGCAGTCCCTGGCCAAGTGCACAGGGACATGTGGAGGTGATGGGAGTTGCGGTTTGGACGTAAGGAAGTAGACTCAGGAAAGAGGGAAAAGAGCTCTCCCAGGAAGGAAAGGAAGGCTCTTAGACAGCGAGCCCCAGTACCTAGAATCCTGGAGGGACCCAGAAATCCTGGAGGGTCACAGATGGGAGAGGTGGGGTGGGAGACCAGCTCCGGTGACAAAGGAAGGATTGGTGGTAGAGAAGAGAAGGGTGGCTGCTGGACAAGGGCCATTTGTGGGCTCTGGAATGGCAGGGCCCCGGATGGCCCCACCCCACCCCATCTCAGCCTCCTCAGCAGTTTTAGGTCCTCCTTGTGGGGTGAGGAGTTACTAGTGGGTGTGGGATCTTCGGAGATGGGCCACCATGCATGGTGCTCCCAGTCAGAGAGAAATGGGCTGAGGCCATGGAAGCCACAGGCCACCTTCTACTGCAGGTCTCTAGCTAGCACCCCATTCTTTCCAAGGCTTCCAGGCACCTGGTCCCCCAGCTGGGCCCAGGAAGCCCCTGCAGGCCTACCGAGCGGGAAGACTGCAGTCCACTTCCGTTCCCGCTGCCCGCCCCCCCAGCCACACCCTGCGGCGCCGTTACTGCGGGATGAATCACCCACCCACCCCGCTGCTGGGGTGACGCAGTGGTCTGGGCAGCCCGCCTGCCGCCAGCCTGTGGCCGCCGCCGGCCTGTGGCCGCCGCCGGCTTTCCCAGCAGCAGGGGGCAAGAGTGGGGGCGCGGACTTGAACAGGGGCGGGAGAGTGTAAAGCAGCCATCCCCCCCCAACCCCACAGTCTCACGGGCAGGACGCCCTGGGGCGCGGTCGGGGGGGGGGTACTCCCCAAGCCGGGGTTGGGGAGTTCTCTCCTGCGGGTAACAGGAGCTGCATCTCCCCCAGGAACCTGGAAAAGTGAGCGAATGCAGGACAAGTGCGCGGCACCCCCTGAGTCCCCAGGACGCGAGAGGACGGGTGTAGGAACAGTGCGGAGGGGACCGCACGTGGTCTGGGAGCCAGAAGAGCAGCGCCCCGGGAAGCCCCGCTCCCAGGGAGCCAGGCGCGCAGAGCCGGTGCGCGCCGTCCCTCGTGGCCAACATCCGGCCTCCACACCCCACTCCCCCCCGCGCAGGTCCCACTGGAGAGGGCTGGGGGCGCAGTCCCCGAGCCCCGCCATGACTGACGGACGCCCCGTCGGAGCGCTCCGGCAGCCTCGCCTGACCTCACCGCCCAACAATGCCCCAGCAAGGACTGAAGACCACACCCGACAGCACGCGGCGGAGCAGAGCCACGCTCGGACCCTCACCTCCCACTCTGACCCCCCAGCTCCCGGGAAAGCCCCAGGCCCCGGCTTCTGCCGCCCTGGCCGCGCACATGCCCGCCCTCCCTCTGCTCACCGTGCAGACCGCGGGAGCTGGGCGCTCAGGCTGGGGCAGTGGGGGCGAGTGGAGCGCCGGGGTCCGGCCGGGGGTTTTCAGCCTGCTCCCGCCTCGGACGGGGCGGACCCGAGGCGGGGCGAGCCCTGTGTTTAAAGGAGCCGCAGTGCAGAAGTGGAGTGCCGCGCGGGAGGGGCGGAAACGGAGCCTGCGCGAAAGGACCCAGGAGTACCGGCCCAAACCGATAGTGGTGTCTGCCGCGGATCCCAAAGGCAGGTGGGCCTTGCATAAAACTTTCTCACTTGGCTAGCTCAAGGCCCCGGCCTGTTCCTTGCGACTGGTTTGAAAAGATTGGCTAGGTAAACGGAGGCACGAGAGGACACGCTCCCTCCTCCCGCTGGCTAGGGTGCAACGGGAGTTTGCAGGCCTGGACAGCACCTGTTAGCGATTTACTCTTCAGGTACTTCAAGTCTGGGCAGGAACCAAGTGAGGTCATTTGCCTTGGGCCCAAGGGGCGTGGTCAGTGCTGGGACCTAGCAGGAGACCGGGCACCTCCAAATCCTGGAGAGATCAGAAGAGGAAACCCCAGCGGAGGGGAGCAGTTAAGGATGGAAGGAGTCCCTCTCCTTCAGACATCTGCTGAGCGGCTTCCTGGGGGGAAGCCCTTGGGGTTCTTGTCTACTATTACAGAAGTTTCTGTTCAGCCTGGTTTCAAGGACACCACCATCCTCTGCTGGCTTTTCCATCCCCAACCCTGACCCCGAAGAGCTCCAAGCCCTGAAGTCCTGGGGTACCTCAGGGAGGGGAGGACTGTCCACCTCCAAGCAGGTTGCTGCACCTGCAACACTGTCCCTCCCTCATTGGCTGCTTACCTGCCCCACCCTTCCCCACCGTGGGACCCCTGGCGCTACTGAAGCACCTGTGCCTCAGTTCCCAGTAAGAGAGCCAGTTCCGCCGCCTGCCCTGAGGAGTTGTGGCTTTAACACTCCCTGCACACTTTACTGTCCACACTGTGCTGTCGTCAGGATGGCCACGCCCGCTCTGTTCTCCCAGGTTCTGGCCGGACGCCCGTGTGTAGCACGGGTCCTAGCACACGCTATAGGCATCCAGGGTTTGTGACTCCTTTGCACCACCATAATAACCAGAACATGACCTTCTCTCTGAATGCACAGCCTCGGACTGTAACTGTTTCTTTACCTGTCTGCCTCACTGACTCATTAGGAAGATGGCCTCCCCAAGGGTAAAGGCATACTTTTTTAGCATCTTATTGAATGGTTAGTTCAATAACCTCAGCAGGCACCCAATAAATGCCTTCTGGATGGATGTTAAATGAATCTCCATTCAGGAAGACTCCCTCCTATATAAGATAGCAAGGATTTCCCTACCACCCTCTCAGATTGAAAGATGACATGCGGACATTTTTCAGACTTTATTCACCTGTAAAAAAAAAAACCTCACCCACACTACAACCAGCCAACCAGCAACCCCCCTACATGTACACACACACGCACTTATACACACACACAGCAGGCCTAAGGTCCCCAGGGGCCAGCACGCACATCCCATACGAAGCCCACTCTCAGGGCCTGAGCCTGAGCACCAATGGGGCAGGACAGTGCCCCGTACTGGGGCTGGGTCTATTGGCTGCCTCCTTGGCAGGGTTCTGTGCCTTCATCCAGCCTCACATCCGGGGCCTTCACAGCAGAGTGGCCTGTTCAGAGTGGGGGGCCGGCTGTCGGTAGACTGGTAGTCGGGATCTAGCAGCATCTCGGCGGCGGCGAAAGGCCAGGAACTCCTCTCTCAGAGCAGCACAGCGGGCTTCAGGGCCAGGAGCGTGGGCAGTGTTCAGAAGAAAGCTCTCATCTGGGGGCTTTGCACCTGCAAGAAGGCCAGGGACACCAACACTGAGAGTAAGAAGTCTTGAAGCTCCCAGAGTGGCGACTCCAACCAGGTGCTCTCCAGAGAACACCAGTGCAGACAAGCCAGGAGAGCAGAGCAGAGAGCCTGGGGCCAGAGGAGACAGGGGCCAGACTGGGTCAAAGTCCGTGGAGGCTGGGATTGCTAAATCGGGGATGCTGCCTTTCAGGGAAACCACACACCTAGCTCTTGCTCATCAGAGCAGAGTTGAGGGTCAGCTAAGCCCAGATGCAAAGTTTCCAGCAATTCCATGTCCCCAGGAAATTCTGAGTCCCATTCATAGTTCTCATCCACAGACGTGTTCCTCCTGTTTAAACACAAATGTGTGGTGTGGGTGGAGGGATGCAGCTTTAGGTCACCCAAATCAGGCTGGGCCACGGTTCCCCCCGAAGAGCCCTGGACCTCTGCAGAAACTTCCACAGGAGACATGGTCCACTGGTCCAGGGTAGGGTGCAGCAGAGAAGGTGAGGGCATTAGAAGGGTGGGAGAAAGCCTGGTATGACACGGCAGGGCCCGAGACAGGGCTGGGCAGGGGCTGCCCTCACCTCTTGCTGACTGTGACCACATGTTCCCTTCGGGGCCATCTCTCCGGGCCACTGGCCCAGCTGCTGGTGTCTCCTGGAGGTGGGCTGAGGTAGCTGCCTCCTGCAGAGGGGGCTGTGGAGGGGGGCCTCAAAAAGGAGGCGCTGCCCCGCCCGCTGCTCTGGCTGGTGAGGCTTCCCCGGGGGGCAGCAGGGAGGAGGCTTGGCAGAAGCCGCTCCTTTATGGTCCAGTCTGTCAGCGCTGTGTAAGTGGGCTCTGGAGCTGCTCCAGGAAGCATGGCCCTGGCTGCCACAGGGGGCGAATCCAGGGGGTGCAGGAGAGATGAGGTGGGGCAGGGCCGAGTATCCATGTAATCTGGGATCGGGGCAGGACCGGGCTCCTCAAAGGGTGGCCAGTCCCCATCCACGTTCATCTCCCGAAAGAAGGGCAGGCTTAGGTATTGGAGCAGGGGTCCTGGACCTGGCAGGGGACTAGGTGGGACTGCAGGAGGGGGCCCTACGGGGCTGATGTCTTTGATGCACAGGGGCTGGGGCAGCCCACTGGGGCTGCTGCTGCTGCAGTCGAAGGACCTGGCCTGGCGCCGAGCTGGAGTGCGAGGTTCCGCTGGTTCAGGACTTGATCTTTCTTGGTTTTCCGCGTTGGGTTCCATCACAAAGCGCCCATCTGGTCCCCGGCAAATGGGCTCCAGGGGTAAGGGGCCCCTGCTAGATGGAGGATCTGGAGGGGGGCTGGGAGGCCTGGAGGGCTCCCCCCACAGCAGACTCTGGCGCAGGCTGGGGACTGGGGAAGCCTGAAGCTTCAGCTTCACCACACTGTCAGGACTGCCTGAGCCGGGAGCAGAGCTGGAGAGGGACAGGAATGGGTCTGTGGCAGGGGCCAGTCCCCCTCCCAGGAGCCAGCCTGAGGTCTTGAGAGGTTTAGCATGCAACAGAACAGAGTTAGGGGGAGCACGCAGACCTGAGCCAGGGTAGAGGGCTGGAAGGGAGATACAGGATCACTGGACCTGCGGCTCTGTTCCTCACCGCCCTCTCACTTCTGGCCCCCACGCAACAAGCACCAATCGCATTGGGAAACAGTATATTGACTTGTGAAGCCAGAAAGCAAAAGGGAGCCAGGAGGAGTAGGGGCACTTACTGTGAGGTTGACTTCCGAGGTGGAGAGAAGATAAGGGGTGGATCTGTCAGGGCAGGAGAACCTGAGATGGCACAGGAAAATCAAGGTTCCCCACCCCAGGCGCCACATGCTCTCTGCCGGACAGGAGTGGGCAAAGTGGATGCAGACTGCCAGACTGCCAGAACCTGGCACGCGCCCGGTCCTTTCCCCAGCCCGGCCCTTTCCCCAGCGTATGCAGCAAGGAGGAACCCTCGTGGGGCGGGGTCTCGGCACTTGGGGGCGGGGCCCAGGGGCGGGGCTTCCTGGGCGGGGCTCCAGAGCTACCTTGACGGAGGCGCTTGCGGCGGCGGCGTGCTGCCCTGCGCCGGTTCATGAGGCAGGCGGCCAGGATGCTCACCAGGACGGCAGCGGCCAGGAAGAGGACTCCGCCCAGCACACCAGCCAGCACCGGCTGAGGCAGGAGGCCCGGCAGCTGTGTGCGGGACGGGTACACCTCCAGGCCTAGGTGGGGAGACGAGGGAGGAGGGGAGCGTCGGTGTCAAGGCTGAATAGGCTCGGGGTACCCCCAAAACCAGTGATCAGCCTCCCTTCTGGTTCTCACCCCAAGTGGAGATGTTGGCAGTGTTGCTGGGACCGCTGACATCGTTACCTACGAAGGCTACTAGGCGGAACTCGTACAGAACATCCTGGGGAGAAGGTCCCCCAAAGGGGTCAGGTCCAGCCAGTCAGGTTTGGGGAACAGAGCACACAACTAGGAGGAGCCTGATCCCCACCTCCCACACACACCTTTATGAGTCCTGGTACCAGCAGCTGCGTTTCTGTGCCAGCCACTGCCCGGTCGAGCACCTCCCAGCCCTGGGAACCTTGACGCCCCTCCAGGATGTAGCCGTCCAGCTTCTCAGGGATCAGTTCTGGGGGTTCCCAATGCAGGAGTACCCCTCGGGGGGTCCTCACTGCCACCAGGCCCCGAGGAGGGGACAGAAGTGGCAGCATCTCTGTGGGGGGAGGCCTGGGAGCAGCTGGTGTGGTAGGAAGTCCTGAATGGGCCAGACAGGCAAGATAAAGATGGGACTCCAGCCTTCTACTCCCTGGCACCCAGCCATTCTCCCAGAGCCCCTAAATAACCTGGTCCCTCTGCCACAACCTCTTCTGAACAAACTGCCCAGTACCTCTGCCCCCTCCCTCCCTGATCCTCCATATCCAGGCCTTCGCAACCAGCCCTTCCCCACATTTGTCTGCTGTCCAGGGGGCCTCACCTTCAGGTGCAGACAAGACAATCTCACTGAAGGGCCCACTCCCCAGCTTGTTCTGAGCGAGGACGCTGAACTGGTACTGGGTGTGGGGCTGCAGCCCTGGTACCAGCAGGTAAGATGCCCCCACGGGCACTGCCAGAGACACCCAGTCATGGTGGGCTCGGTCAGGACGTTTGGCCCTAGAGGACGTGAGGAGATGGGGGAGATGAGCTGAGAATACCAGGAAGGCTAGAGGCCATAGAGTCCTTTCCTTCCCCTCCACCACCCTGTCTCAGGCCCGAACACCTAAGATTTCAGGAACTCGGTGAGGGGCAGAGTTGGGGAAGTGCTGGAATGGAGAAATGGGAGAAAGAACAGAGGTAAGATAGAATCAGGGTGGGGAGAAGAGGTGGGGGTGGTCACTCACAGTGGGGTGTACCAGACACTGAATCTCTGCAGATAGCCTCCATCAAAACCCGGCTCCCAGGAGACATTGGCACCCTTGGGCAAAGGCACCACGGACACATTGGTGGCTGCGTGGGGGCTGGTGCCTGGCAGAAGGGAGGGTCAACGGTCAGGTCCCTGAGGGAAGGCGAAGAGCTAGAGGGAGTCCCCAGCCCCTGTGCTCTGTGCCATGTGGATTCCTCTAGCCCAGAGGCTCTGCCAGCCATCTACTAACCCAGCACGTAGACGTATGTGGAGGCAGCCACGTGGGCCACAGCATTGCTGGCGGTACACTCCCAGCGTCCATGGGCCTCTTTGGTCAGCGGTCGTAGGATAAGGCTGCTGTTGCCATCTACCTGAGCCTGGCGCTGCAGTCCCCGGCCCACCTACAGAACCACTGGTCAGCCTGAGGACACACCGACCACCCCTCACCGAGGGAGCTACTCATGACTCAAGGCAGCGCCACTTGCCCCACCCTGCCTCCCACAGTCCTCTCCTTCCCATAAGCCAGGGCACAGAAGCAGGCATGTCCCGGCATGGGTTCAAGCAGAGGGGGCGGAAGCCTTACCTTGGCCCAAGAGATGGCGGGAGGAGGGTCGCCGTGGGCAGAGCAGGGGATGAGGAGCTCGCGCCCTACTTCCTGGAAATACTCCTCCTTAGGCCGCTCTATAAAAGCCGGGGGCGCCTGCAAGCCAGAGCTGGCGTTGGAAGGGGCCTCTCACACTGCTAACCCCTGGGTTCAGACTCCCCGACTCAGTCCATCCTCAGTGCCTCTTTAGCCCTGTCTGTTCCCAGGTGAATGGGGGGAAAATGGGCTAAAAGGCCTATAGAGAGGCCTTCACCTCCCCTTGGCCGTCTGCCCTTTTCCCTGCAGAGAAGGAGGTAGCCTGGTCAGGTTAGAGAGCTGGGGTAGGCAGGGCCCACTCTGTGGCTAAGTGTGTCCCATGTCCACCTCTGCCAGAGGCCACGTGGGACGCAGACTGGGGAGCCCTTGCACACACATCAGCCACACAGCCTCACCTTGAGCAGCACACGGGTCACGGGGGAGGGCCCTGCAGTCCCAAGGCTATTGTAGGGGGTGCAGGAGTACTCTCCCAGGGCGTCCTCATTCCCCAGGGCAATGATCAGTGAGCCTTCCGGGCCTTGGGACCAGCCGGGGAACTGAAGGGAGAGGAGTGACAAGTGGAGGGACTCAGCAGAGCCAGAGGAGCCACGTGGTAAGCAGGGAGGAAATCGCGGGAAACCCCAGATGCAGGACCGGGACTCTCCTTCCAGCCCAACTGCCCTCAGCCTTTGCCAGCCACCCCCAGCCAGTGGAAGCCAGCCTCACTCCCTGAGGGGTGCCAACAGAGACACAGGTGCCCCTGGTGCTGAGCCATGTGGAACCTCTCCTAACTGTCCCCGCATCACCCGGAATAATTCACGATCTTCTGCCCCCAAACCAGGTCCTTGTCCTACCTTTGCTATTTCTACATAAAGACTTCTCTGTCCTGGCTAACATTAGGCTCCTCACAGCTCCGTCCTCAAGCCTCACCTGGGGTGGGGGTGGGGGCTTTTGTCTTTGAGTGAGGCCCGTCTGCTGAGTGAGACTCTCACCTACATGTGTGACCAGCCTGTGACCGCCAGCTGCTGCTCTCAGCCCTCTTCTGCTGAGCAGCCCCCCTCCTGCTCACACCTCTGATGTGGGTGCGCTCAACCATCCCTCCTACAACTGACTTTAAGTGTGTATTTTTTTCTTCAACACTGCACAAAAATATATGAAGTACTGCAATTGCAAAAGCCCTGGGGACACCAGGATTCAAAGATGCAATACTAGCCCACAAGGAATTTAGTCTTTGCAGACAAACAAAAGATCCCAATCAGCATGGGATGAGGTCATGTTAACTTGGCATCCGCACTTCTTCCTGTGAGCCTAGACCTGTCTTTCCGGCTTTCTTACACGGTCCACGTCCCCAGGGGCACTGTGGTGCACAGCCTGCTGGGAGTGGATCACAGATGCCTGCAGTCTTCCCTGCCTCTGGGCCCTGGTTCCCTCCAGCACCTGTCCTCCCTCCCCCTTAGAAGCGCTTGCTGCAACCCAGGCCGCCTTATCCCCTAGGCTGCCCCTGCTCCCTAAGCAACCCCACACAGCACCTGGGAAGAGGTGTAGGTTCCCCAGTCACCCAGGTGAGTAAAACTGATGGGAATGACACCAAGAGAGGCCCTTCCTCCCCTGCTCCCAAATCTGTACCTTGTCCAGTCTCAGGGCCTGCCCATCCTTAGTCCAGCTGACAAAAAGCAGCGGGGGGTTGGCACGAGCGGGGCACTGGATCACCCCCCGCATGCCTATGGGCAGGGGGGTCTCGGCAGGCATCGCTGTTACCTGGGCTGGGTCTGGGGGAAACAGAGGCAGACTGTAGGCAAGAGGCAGGGGCTGGCCCTGGGGACTCCAGCAGACTAGGAGGGCACAGGGATGGGCTTACAGAGCACAGTGAGGTAAGCCGACGCCGAGGGTGGGTGCAGGAGGCCATTGCTGGGCACACAGGTGTAGCGCCCAGCATCATCGGGCTGTGCCGCCTGCAGCCGCAGGCTGCCATCCACCAGGATCCGCACGCGGGCCTGCAGGCGGCTGCAACGGCATGTGTGGGAAGGGCTCAGGCCCTGCTCCGTCAAGGGGCCCTTCAGAGACAGCACCCAGCCCCAGCCTACGCCCCCACGCCCCACCTAATGTGGAAGACATTGATGCTGTCTTGGAACCAGCTGTAGGTAAGGTTAGCAGGGTAGGCCTCGGCCCGGCAGGCCAAGGAGGCATCCTGGGAGGCATTGACCGTGCTGTTCCTGGGGGGCACCACGATGACCGGGGGCCCTGTAGGGAGCACAAAAACAAGGAGCCTCAGCCCAGTCTTCCCAGGGCCTGGGTCACTTCTCTTGTCCTTCCCAGATCTGCCCTCTGGAATGCTGGGCTGGTTGCTACAAAGCCTTGGTGGGGCCCTTGGGCATAACAAAAGTTCCTCTTCTCCCCTAAACAAGTTCTCCCTAACTCACCAGTGACAATGCATTTGCTCAGTTTATCCACCCGAGAAGCCGCCTGTGTGCGCCGGCATGTGTGCGCTGGGGGAAGGAGTGTTCTCACTCTGCTCATTTACCCTTTGTAGTCCTCATTTGTCACATCTTAAACTGCCTCTTGGCCTCCTGCCCCCATCCAGGCGCCCAGACCTTGCCAAGCTGCAGCAGCCCCAGCTCCTGTCTCCCCGCCCATGCAAAAATGCCCCTTTGGCCCAAGGACCCACAATGGCTCCCTTTCCTACCATGTGAAGCCTGTCCACGGGCCGGTGGCCCAACCTTGCCTGGCCAGCCATCTCTCCCTTGCCAGCCCTCCAAGCCCACAGGCCAGGGGGCAGCTCGGAGCACCCAGGTCAGCCTCCTTCACGTCTGCCTGCCCCTACTCTCTGAACCCCAGGAACAGCAGGCTCTGGGGCACCCTGTGCTCTGCCCAGCACCTGACTGCACCTCCCAGCATGCCAACAGTGCCTGCCCATTCAGGCCGCCCCTGGCACCAGGGGCTGCACCCAGCATGCCTTCCCCACAGCACCAGGTGAGCAACTACCCCCTCCTCCTTCCCCTGGGGATGAGCTGCCCCAGGGAGGCCGACTGGGCCTTCCACTCCCAGGTTTCCTTCCAAAGGAAAGGGCTTGCCAGGAACATCTAGGGTCCATCACAGTGCTTGCTACAGCCCAATGCAGTTCTTGATCGGTCCTGGGAGGTCAGCATGGGCCTTGCTCTATAGATGAGGTGACTGAGGCTCAAAGGGGTCCACACACAGCGTTCAACACCAGCACCCAGCCCCTTCCAAGGGGCCACCTCAGGGCACTAGCTACCTACTTGTCCTGTTGGTTCTCTAAAGTGAAGATGCTGGCTTTAGGCACAGCCCATGTTGGGAACACACATTCTCTCTCTCTCTCTCTCCCCCTTCACACCTCATCTCCTCCCCACCAAGGTAACCCCCACATCTCAGTCTTCTAACAGAACCTCCTTCCTGCCACCCCAGACAGCACCTAGCACCAGCAGCTGGGTGGCGTGGGTGATGCTGCCCTCAGAGCTGGAGGCCTGGCAGGTGTAGACACCGGAGCTGCCTCGCTCCACCTGTCGGATCTGCAGCGTCCCGTTCTGCACCTGATGGAGGGGGAGAGAAAGGGGGGGTGTTGAGGAAAAAGCTGGGTTACGGAGGGTTGAAGTGGGTGGCAGTGTGTTGGAGATAATAAGGAGGGCAGTGGTGGGGGAGGAGAGGAAGGATAGAAGAGGGAGGGATGGCAGGTGAGGGGGGAAAGGTGAGGAAGGACAAGGGCAGACAGGCACAGGTGAGAGAAGGCAGGGACTGTGAATAGCGCTAGGTGAGGGAGCCAGGAGCAGGTAAAGGAAGGAGGGGTGGGGAGGGGGCCCTCGCTCCCCGTCGCTGGGCTGGATCAGATCCTGCACTCCCGGCGATGGTAGACAGAGGGCAGCATCAGCCCAGGTCGGGGCGCCCTGCACAGCAGCGCCTGAGCCCCTCCCTCCCGACCTCTGGCCTCACCTGCACCCAACCCTGGCCCTGGCCCAGGTCCTGTCCTCGGAGCTTCCAAGTCACCTGAGGCTGGGGGCTGCCACGGGCCACACAGCGCAGCGTCAGTGGCTCTAGCTCCCGAACCTCCAGCACCTGGGGGGGTGTCTCCAGGAACTTGGGGGGTGCTGTGGGAAGAGAGGCAATGGGGTCAACAAAGGCTCTCAGACCAAAGAGCACAATCCCAGGGTCCAAGCCAGCTCAGGGCTGCACACCCAAGCAAATGAGGCCAAGCCCGACACCCCGCCCTATGAGGCCTACAGGGCTGGCACCAGGTGGGAAGGCAGGGTGCCCTTGGAAGAACGCTGTTCTGAGGGCTGGGAGCCCTCTTCTATACTCAGATATGTGCCGAGTCTGTGACCCCGACCCTTCATCTGTGACACAGGAGTAACTGTGACCGTCTGGCTTCTAAGGGCTAACAGAGAGTCATGAGGCAACGGTTTAAATGGCATTGAGAAAACTGAACTGCTATGTGTGTGAGCTGTTTTCAGGGCCTCCCCACCCCCCCTCCCACCACCCTTTTGGGGCATGGGAGAGGGAAGAGAGAGGAAGTCCTAATACAGACCTTGGCTAATGCCAGGATGAGGAGAGGGGTGGGTAAGACGATGGCAGTGAGCCAGAAACAGGGTTTGAGCAACAGAGGGGTCATCAGAGCTACACTCTCCTCCCACCAAGCCAGAGGCCCCTTCTCCCACCCACCCCGGGGCTCAGCTTCATACAGTTGACTGTGAGGTGCACCCAGGAGCCGTTGGTGTTCTCGTCCTCGGGGTGCTGCTGGTCCAGGAAGAGCACTCGGCACTCATACCAGCCCTGGTCTTCTGCACGGAGCCCCTCGATCTGGAGGGAGGCCCCCTTCTGCAGCCGGACTCGCCCTGGGACAAGCCTTGAATCAGTGGTGCTAGAGAGACCCCTTGGGGGCTCAACACCTGCTCACGTGGTCCCTCTCAGAGGCCAAGAGCAGACTCAGTTCTTCTGGACCCCTCTAAGAGAGAGTCACAGAGAGGCATAGAGCGGGTGGGTCACTACGAGCAAGTAAATCCCTGAGATTCCTCCTGCCTCTAGACACCCCATGCAGCGTTAAGAAACCCAGATGGGCAGTGAGTGGCCAGATTTGAGTCTGTCCCTGAGGCATTTAGCACACAGCTCAGCCCCCAGCTCCAGCACTCAGGCCGACAAGGAGGAGGCTTGCTCCGTGGACTTGGCCTCACAGTTCTGCCCCCAGCTCCCAGGTAGCGCTTTCTGCCAGAGCAACTCTGTCCCTGCAAATCTCAGCATGTTGAGGCCTAAGCAGGGACCCAGGCAGCCTACCAATGTGCCTAATCCTGCAGAGCTATTATCAAAGCCTAAGCGCTTTAGGGTGGCGAGAATCCAGCCAGTCCTACAGCAAGGTCAGCAGCCTCCTCGCCCTGACCCTCACGCCCAGGCATCAAGCCGGCTGACTGCCCAGCGTCCACAGTGCCACACAGACACAGAGTCCCACCCTCAGTCCACACCCTGCCACCCTGCTTAGTCTGACGGCACCCCCAAATCCTTCAACACCCTCCACTGTGGGGCCCTAGCACCCACAAAGCTTCCTGGGTCCCTGCTGGGCATACTGGTAGAAAAGACATGCACTGGACAGCCAGAGAAGCTGGGAGTCCAGCTCTGCTGTGTACCCCTTGAGCAAGTGACTTAACTCTCTGACCAATTTCTCATCTGAAGAAAGAGGGTGAGTGGAGAGGGCATACCCTGGGAAGGAAGGTGGCATGGTGCCAGGCACCAAGAAGTGTTGAGCGAGTGAGTTTGAAATTGGAAATCAAAGCCTCACAGGTCCTGGCCCCATCCTTCACCTGATACTCACCCCCCTTCTCATACCAGTGAAGAGCCCGACTAGGCACCAACTACCCCCGCAGCCCCACCCCCACCTAATTGGTAAAGCTTTTAAATCCTACCCCCTCCCCCCATATCTGTTCTCTCCCTGTGTTCACCCCCGCCTTGTTCCTGCAGCATCTCTTACCTGGCTACAGGTGAGCAAAGGCACGCTCTCCAGCCCTCCCTATTCATCGGCTGCCTGTCCTCCTTGTCCTCCTGCCCAGTAGGGACAGATGACAAGTCCCCTCATGCCGCCTGGACGCTGCCCTTCCTAATGCCAGAGGTCCTGCGCTGTCACCCCATCTCCCACCCTGTCCATCTGCTTCCTCTCTACCTGGGAACGTGGTTCCACAGCTCAGCCTAGCTCAGCCTGCAGCACCTCTCACGTGGTGGGGGAAGGGAACACCCAGAGGAGGCCCCTGGGGGACAGCCCACCAGCAAGGGGCTTTATCTTCCAGGAAAAAATGTCAGCAGGGTCTTCAGGGGCTCCCCTTGTGCAGATGTGTCAGGATCAAGCCTGCTTGTCTTACGGAGGAGCAGAAAGCCGTGAAAGCATTGAGGTACAGAAAAGTCAAATATGGTCAGAAAGTCAAATTGAAATGGAAATATTTTTGAGTTTAAAAAAATGCAATCCAGGGGCTAGGTTCTCTCAGATGGGTGGACCAGCTAAAGAGTTTAAATCCCCACCTAAAAGATAAGCGTGGGTCTTGCAGGTAAATATTTAACGTGATCACACCCGCCCACCAGCTGATTACTTATCTGCTGGCCTGGGGCCCTGCAGGCTCAGGCTGCAGCCTCCCTGGCTCCCCCAGAGTGGCTCCTCACTGCAGATCTTCAAGTTTGCCGGGAAGGCAGGCAAGGGAAGGGAGGCTGGCCTGGAATATGGGCCACAAGACACTATGCATTTCGCTGTATTCCGTATACAGAAAGGACATGAGCACTCAGCACTGAGCATTTTGGGTGTCTTGTCAAGGGGGGTGCAGGTAGCTCATGGGCAAAGTTCTAAATGGTTGCCAACTAGAAATCCAGTGCATACACTGTGTTCCCAACTCTCCTCAAACACCTGGACAGTGAGACTGGTCATGTCACAGAACGGGAAGATGGCTCTGGGCAGGGGGCGCCGAGCTTCCTGGGGTCACCCTCCACTTCAGGGGCAGAGCCCGAGACCTCCTGCACGCAGGGGCAATGATGCAGGAGATGGCATCGTTCTCCCACGCCCTCTGACAGCAGGACTCACTCTCAGCAATGCTCCCTGTGCCCAGCCGTTCTAGGAGACTCTGAGCAAGAGAGGGCAGAAGGTACCAGATGCCTGACTACACGGGGCCTTAAGGGATAAAGGCATGAGGAGAGATGACTAGAAGGAGCGGCAGTGGTCCAACACGGAGACTGAGAGAACTAATTTTTGTCAAACAACTCATGACAAGAGAAAGCTCATGACCCTCCTGCTGTGTGGAGTATCTTGAAGCTCCCGAGAATGACATACAGCATGAAACCAGGCCCAGAGCTGTCCCAGGGCCTGGAAGGTCCTCCAGACATCTGGCCAGGTTCCCCACAGCTGTGCAGGGCCTGGTGGACAGTAGCTGACCTGTCCTCCCTGGTCACACACTGCTCGTCACCACTTCGACACTAGTCTATAAAGCCAGTGTTCTCTGCTAGGTGTCTCCAGAGTCCACAAAGACCTCAAAGACTGGACACTTTCCCTTGAGGAGGGTTCCCAAAACTCAAAGCTCTAATGCTCCCTCCCTCCCACCTTCCAGGCTCCCACAGCCCTCCTCTCATCCTTGCACTTCAGGGCCTATGACAAGACAGCATTGTCTTAGCAACCATCTCCCTTGCTTAGCAACTGTGGTTGAAACCCCGCAAAAAAGGTTGCCCCCTCCACACTCCAGCAGCAAGGGAGTTACTGGCTGCAGCGTCCCCTCCAGGGCCTGACCCCCACCACCCAGTTCTGACCTGACCAGCAGCTGGGGCCTGAGGGTGGGGGAAGAAGCTCTGGAGTTCCTTCCTCAGGAGCAAGGAACTGGGGGTCCTAACAGAGAGGCCCCCCAGGAGCAAGGAA